TCATGTTCCCTAAAGAGCAGATGAGGCCCAAGCGAGAAGCAGTGTAGGAAGAGCTATTCTTAACTGTGTTCCTTTAGTTGCAGAACTGCCCTCTTTCGAAAACTGGAATCTCTATATAGTGCTTCTTTATTTCATTTATTTCTATTTTTTCCATCTTTTTTTAAATTATGGTCTATTTGTGTCATTTCTCTTGTGATACATGTAAATGCAATACAGCATCTCCCGTGCACAAGCATTCGCCCTCAGACTTCTGGTGGCACAAGGTCGGCCTCGGGTGCACTGACCATCCTTACGCACCAGCTGGCCAAACACAAGCTACAATTTCATGAGAAGAGGCGCAGACATCACCGAAGAGAAAAGGTGGCAGCTGAAATGTCTTCATTGGAAATGGCCTCGGTCAGCTCCTGAGAAAGCAAACGTTAGGAGCCACGTGGTCCTGCATTATATTTCAGCTCAGTTTACTTTCATCAAGCATTTTCAATTCCTACATACAAATCTATACATAAATGATATATGTCTTTAACATAGAATTAGAAGGAATCTTGGAAGTCTATATTGAGGTTTTGGGGGTAATTAACATGTAGTGAACACCTATGTACCAAGCACTTTGCTGGTAGATTTATATAAATTATAAATATTATGTATTTTATAGAAAATGAATAATCTATAGAAAGTGCAGAATTAGCACGCTTAAACTGATCATTTAATGGATTCAAGTATACTAATACTAGTACTAATATTTCATATTTTCTACATGCTTACTATGTGCCAGGAACTATGCTAAGTGTTTTACACATATTAATTCAGTTACTTTTTACAAAAATCCTATGAGGTCGGTGCTTTTATCATCTTACTCGGCCCCAGAACATTTCCTTGAGTCAAGGGGATCCAGCTTGCTTATCTCAGTTCTGACAGGCCTCGAGCCTCGGGGATTTGCAGGGACGGAGGAATTAACCGGATTTGCCAGATGGGTGATCGGAGAGGAGGGTTAGTCCCAAACCGCAGGGGAGGGCGGCAGGGGGGAGGGGAAGCCCCGGAAAGCGGCCTGTCATCTGCGGGGTCATCTGCGAGGGACGAGGGACGGCAGGAAGCAGACGGTGGGACATGGGCCTGGACACAGGCGTGGGCGGGAAATCCTGTGAATAGCTGCGCCCCAGAAACCACGCGTCAAGGCCAAGGAAGCAACTTTTCAAAGGGGGGGACAGCGGTCAGTAAGTGTGTCAGGCAAGGCGAAGGAGGGGCTCTACGCAGGTTTGGTGGCCAGGCGACCTGGGCTCTAGTCCCATCGCTCACCGGCCCCGTAAGTATATGACATTTGCGCCCCAGTGACCCTTCTGTCAGCAGAGACATCAACACCTGGCGCCCAGGATTGTGCGAGGTTCAACCATCATGGTTTATAAGTAATTTCGAATTAATGAGGTGTCACAAGACCCTTATCCTTCCACGTCTCTTTTTATCCACCTGGTGAGATTCTGCCTTTTGCTTTTCACCCGCTGTTTTGGGGTCGAAGTTCCCCAGCCCCAACTATATCACAAGTGAGTACAAGGCAAGATCATATGTGGCAATGCTGTTCAGTCACATACCTAATATTGAGGGCGATGACAAGTGTGCACACTGCTTATAATATTTACTAAGTTCAATAGAAAGGAATATAAATACGGTTTAATAAAAGCCCACATTGGAAACCTGATAGATTCGGGGATACGCTTATTTTTTCCAGAACTTAAGGGCTTCACCAGAGGTTTCTTATAAACAGGTTTCCTACATGGCAAACAAATCCGTTTCTAAAAGGTAAATAAATAATGTTGATTACACATAACTGGTTTTACTGCAAGTATTTTGGACATTTGCCGTATGCTGATGCTGGCACTAAACTGACAGTCACGCTTGATGATGTGAGCCTTTTGGTTGTGACCTCCAGGGTCAAGACATTTTGAGGACTGGCAAAGGAAAATTACTAAGTGACAGGAAGAGCCGGGAAGTCTTCCCAAGTCAGGAGCTGCCCAGAGCTCAGTTTCATCACAGCCCACAGTTTGGGGCTCTTAAAATAGGGATCCATTTTTAAGTGACATTTATCTGAGGAATATATAGGCTATAAAAAGCCAATTGCACCAACACTTGCAATATAAAGTATATGATTTCAAGGCTTGTTAAGGGCATACCATGTTCTGAGATTGTGCTAGAGGGAGAAAATGCAAGGGGTGGCCTTATTTAAAGGCTATTTGATAGAGGGCAGGTTATTCCAGGCAAAAGTGGGGATGTCTTGGTTGATTTAAAAAAAATTAACCCTAAAAATGAAGATTTACTAATCTTGTAAAACACAACAGACTTTCCTTGTTGGACAGAGATGTCTCAGAAATCCTAATTGCAGGATGGTGAAGACTTGCTATTTTTTAACATCTCTACTGGTCAGGAAAGCCACAAAACCTCTGTAGCATTTTTTTTCTACTTTTCAAAGCTTTCTCTAGGGAACTTTCCTAACGACTAGTTTTAGGAAAGTTCCAGAAGTAAGGCGGTGCAGTTGAAGCAAACAGGTTTAGGAGCCTAAAGATCCAGCTGTGTGGCCCTGGGAAAGTGCAGATGCTTCCAGCCTGGGATGTCCTCTGTGAGCACAGCGGGCCCCTCCCTGCCCATCGCCAAGTGTTGAAGTTCCTCACACTTCCAGCCTCAGCTTTCCTATCTCCTCACTCCATGTGGGTTCCCGGAGTAATTCCATTCATTCCCTATGGCTCACCCATCATCGATTGGTTTGTTGATCTTGCATCAGTTGCCTTAGGTAGTCCACTTGAGCTGTTGAGCGGCCCCTCTCCCCCCAGGCTCCACTGAAACCTATTATAATTTAATTATTATTACCATACAACATTGGCCGAAACAGGCCGGGGACCCAGGGCTATAAAATATCACTTATCTTTGGCAAACATAGTCCATGGCACGGTCAGAGGTCAGTACAGTTGACAGCTGCCGGGTGCATGTGTAGCTCAGGCCTCCGTCCTGCACCGTCAACAGGCTAAAACTCAGCCAAGTGAAACACATTTATCTTCTCCCTGAAACGCCCTCCTGCCTTTTAATCAAGGCCAAACACAACATTAATAACGAAAATGGACCCCCTCTTCTTATTCCTGTGTGTCCTCTCCATCCAGCCTTAAATTATAGACACAGATGACGGAGCTGAAACCTAGCTTCTCAGCTCCGACTCGGAAAGCCTGTCGCTCACTGGTCTGTTGCTACATGCAAAGCAAAGCCAGCTCCTTTGTGGATAATCAGAGAGCTGCATCTTTTTCTTTTGGATCTTTTCACTTCATTTTTTCTTTTAACGTTTGAAATTTTTTTTTTTTATGAAAAGATTTTTAAAATTGATTTTTAGACAGAGGAAGGGAGACGGAGAGAGAGAGAAACATCAATGTGAGGGCGTAACACTGACCGGGTGCCTCCTGGCCGCCCCCTCCTGGGCCTGAGCCCTGACCGGGAATGGAACCCGCCACCTTTTGGTGTCTGGGACAACGCTGTGACCAACTGGGCCTCACCTGCCGGGGCTAAAACATTGTTTATTATAAGAAAAGTCAAAAGCCAAATCACAAACTGAGGAAAAATATACAACTTAAACCTCAGACAAAAAGCTATTATACCTGGTTGGGGAGCATCCGGGAGGCAACCAATCCATGTCTCTCTCTCTCCCTCCCTCCCTCTCTCTCTCTCCCCCGTCCCTTCCACTCTCTCTCAAAATCAATGGAAAAAATACCTTTGTGTGAGGCCTAACAAAAATAAAATAAAGCCTGGCCAGGAAATACCATCTATTATTTTTTTTAAATAATAATATGCAATACATTGGTGCTGTCCTGATAACCAAATATATCCCCAAAGCCACCTAGTGCTCTGTGACATCCTCCAGACCAGTGTCACCCAATAGAAATACAATGCGAGCCACATAAATAATTCTAAACTTTCTAGTAGATACCTTAAAAAAATAAACAGATAAATTCATTTTAATGATATATTTTATTTAACATGATATATCCCTGATGTTATCATTTCAACATGTAATCAGTAAAAAAAGTATCAGTGAGATATTTTACATTATTTCTCATATTCTTCCAAGATTCAGTGTGTCTCTTACACTTACTTCGCATATCTACAGTATGTCTGTTTGGATGACCACATTTCAAGTGCTCAATACCATTCGTGACTAGTGACAATCATATTATATAGTGAAGCTCCCAATTAGCTTCAACCACAACCAAGATAACCCTTGAAATGAGACTCTAAACTCTGGCTCAGTCTTGAAATAATATGACACCTCCACGAAGCATCTTTACAGCCCATAAAATTCCATTTCTCTGCCCTGGAAGTCCTAATTCATTAACCTATGTCCCTAGTGCTCCACCCACCAGGTCAGGGAAGCCTAACATGCTTCCCACATACACACCACAAAATTCATCAGACAGTGATCTTGTCATTTTGCCAAGACCAACTCAACAAAAGTTTTTACCTCCTACACTCTTGCAAAATGTGCTATATTAAAATTATTTTATGAAGTTACTGTTAATACATCTGTAATTTAGATGTGCTAGGCCAACTGACATGTGAAACGAAATCTTCCAAGAAAGAGATGAGGCAAGAAAGCATGAAATAAAGAAAACCAAGCTGGACTGAAATTCAAGCTGGGAGCTCGGGCCCAGCTCTGCCACTGGATAGTTTCATGTTCTTGGACAACATCCGAATATTTCTGACTCTCCAAAGTGCGATGTAGTGTATAAAAGACTAGATTAAAGGATTCTGAAGCCCTGTTCAATATTGGATGCTCCATAATTGCAGAAACTATTTTCATAAAATAAAGAAGGAAGTGTTGGGGCATAAGAGAGAATAAAATCACTTGGGAAAGAGTTAAAATTTCCTTTTTGTATAGACTAGAAAAGCATGAAGCTTGAATTCCTTATTGAAAATAATGATGACAATAATAGAAACACTCTAATTTTTAAGATACTCATCCTTTTTCTCAATTTCTAATATTTTTTATTCCAAAAGGAAGTTATCCTGCCCAAGGTTTTCTTCATGGCAGCCCTGACATCTTTATTCCGCAGGCTGTAGATTAGCGGGTTCACCATGGGCACCACAATGGTGTAGAAGAGAGAAGACACTTTCCCCCGGTCAAGGGGTAAAATAGAAGGCGGTTTGAGATACATAAAAGCTCCTGACCCAAAGAAGAGAGAAACTGCAATAATGTGGGAACTGCAGGTACTGAAGGCTTTGGACCGGCCTTCAATGGAGCTAATGTGGAAAATGCTGGAAAGAATGAAGCCGTAAGAGATAAAAATGGCAGCAATAGGCAGCCCGATGCCAACAGCCACAACAAGAAAGACCACGAGCAGATTGATGTAAGAGCTGTCGCAGGACAGCTCAAGGAGGGGAAGGATGTCGCACATGTAGTGATTGACAAGGTTGTCAGCACAGAAGGTCAGAAACGCCACGTTTCCTGTGTGAGCCATGGCCCCCCAAACCCCCATCCCATAGACGCCCAGCAAAAGAAAGAAACACACCCGAGGCGACATGGTGACCGTGTACAACAGTGGCTTACAGATGGCGACGTAGCGGTCATATGCCATCGCGGACAGGACGAAGGACTCGGCAAAGACAAAGAAACAGAAGAAGAAGAGCTGAGTCATGCATCCTGCGTAGGAGATGGTGTTCTTCTTGGTGACAAAACTCACCAGCATCTTGGGGACGATGGTAGCCGAGAAGCTAAAGTCTATGAAGGACAAGTTGAACAGGAAAAGATACATGGGGACGTGCAGGGGAGGGTTGAGCCCAATCAAGACGACCAAGCCCAGGTTGCCCACCACGGTGACCACGTAGAAACCCAGAAACAGAAGTAAGAGGGGGACCTGGAGCCCCGGCTGGCCCGTTAAGCCTGCAAGGACAAACTCTGTCACCGAGGAGGTGTTATCTGCATGTTCCTCCGGGAGGGTCTGGGACAGAAAAAAAGAGAATTACTCAGAGAAAGAGAGGGGGAAACCTCATTCTTGAGAACGGTACTTGAACAGAGAGGTTCTGAGCTTCAAGAAGATGGCATTTGCCTTTACCTGCATCTCTGTTTTTATGGTCCCCAAGTGCCTTGAAGCATCCTGACAACTGTCTGCGGGTGAAATGTGCCTCCCGAGTGAGGGCTGATCCAACTGAGAAGGCCCGCAAAGCTCAGCGGGCTGGCCCTGCACCTTATGTGGCCGTCCCCTCGCACTTCCTTCCCTCCGCTGCCTTGGTCAAGTTTTGTAAGGCCTGGGGCCCTTTTCCCAAGTGTGGCGGAGAGGCCGCAGGCGGCTGGCCCTGCCTAGACCTTCTACCTTCGGTCAGTTCTCATTAGGGCAGGAAGGTGAGGTCACGGTGCCCAGAGCCTTTAGCTGGAATGGCTGTGGAATTATTATGTGAAAATAATACTGGAGTAATAAGGTAAAGTTATTCGTGAAACCTCAGAAAAAAAGGAATACTTACTGAGCACCAGCTAGGCTGATGACACTGTTCTAAATGCTTGGGGCATTTTTATTAAACCTGTTTAACACATGAGGACACTGGGCAGAAGTGACTTACACAAGTCCCAGTCCTTCTAAGTGGCAGCAGGTGAACTCGGGCAGTCTGGCTCCTGGGGTTCAAGCTTTTACCCACTCTGCTCCAGGCCAGGCCAGGCAGGCAGGCACTCACCCTCCTTCCGCCTGGAGTCACAGTGCTGCGACCTCCTGGCTCCCACCCAGCTCTCTCATGCAGACTCAGGTGGGCCCTGGTGCAAAGAAGGTGACAATTCAGAGCTCAGACCCCTCTGCTTCTGCTTCTTTCCTATAAAAATCTCTAGGCTGTTTTGGTTCTCCTGCTGAGCTGAAGAACATGGCCCCTGACTGGTTTTGTCCCTGGCCTCCTGTCCAGCTTCCAGGGATGAGACAGCACCTTTATCACACCCAGGGGTAACTGGGGAATGAAGACTTTTATTCTGGATTAGGGACCGTAGTGACCTAGTTACATAGGCTCCCTCAGGATCACTGCTCCCTAAGGAAGAAGGAATGTTTGTTTATGCCCTTGGTGATGCTGATGGGGCTTTCAACGGCCTATCCTTTCATTCAGCCTTCAAAGTCCCCTACTTTAGTATAAGCTTATTTCCTGTGTCACCTTGGAAGAACCTATTTCCTCCAGTAACACAACCAAGATTATTCTACCCTGCAAAGCTACCATTTAGAATCAAAAGACAGATAAAGAGCTTCCCAGACAAGAAAACACTAAAGGAATTCATCACCACCAAGGTGACACAGGAAATGAAATTCAGGGACACACGTGTAGGAGGCTTTTAAGCGAGAGAGGTAAGATTTATTAGAGCAAAAACGAATGAAGGACTTAGGATAGAAGAGGCAAGATCACAGTGTGCCTAGACCGAGCTGCCTATAAAGCCCACTGCTTCCTGGTTGTAAGTCTCATGGGGACCCCTAGAGTTTAGGAGAAAATAAAGCAAAAGTATGGTCCGAGAGAAGGGAGGGCATGCAGGGCACAGATGCCCCCCACAAAGGCTGCCACACTCATTGAGGCGCTTCCCCAGCACTCAGCTGGCAGACAGCGTTCACTGCCCCCAGGTACACCATGCACAATGCCTCATCCACGAACGGGTGGCTCAGCTCAGTCTCGCTGCAGGACAGCTTCCTGGGCTGCAGGGCTGCGCCCGCAGCCATCAGGACCAGGAGGGCCAGGCCCACAGGTGCTGTGCCATTCCGCGGGCACCCAAGGCTCCAGCAGTCCAGCTCAGCCTCTGCTTCCAGCTGTGCTCTGGCCTGTGCGGCTGCCAAAAAGAGACTGGAGCCTTTGTTAAGCTTCTCTATATTTCCTTGAGCTTGGAAGAGAGTTGGTTTTCTTTCAAACTATCCAATCTCTTCCTTGGGCTTGCGTCTTTACCCTATCCAATTATTTCCCCAGGTTTCTCTCATCCCCTTTATGGTTGCCATTTTGGCTTCTACTGCACATGTGCCCAGTGAAAGGACTTCCCCTAAGCTATCTTCTCCTTCCCCCTCCTTAGTGGGGCAGACTCTCCGGGGTGACCGTAAGCTTAATGAGGCTTAATCAGATATCTGCTTCTGATTGGTTCACTCCCTCCCTTTGGGTTAATATCTAACTAACCGCCTACTATAACATTCATATGTCCTTGCTTTTATCACTTTGAATATTTCATGCTAATCTCTTCTAGCCTGAAATGTTCCTGTGGAGAAATCAGCTGACAGTCTTATGGGAGCTCCCTGCTCCCATAACTAACTGCTTTTCTCTTGCTGCTTTTAAGATTCTCTCTTTGTCTTTGAATAACAGAGTGACATTAATTGATCCATTCAACAATTATTGAGAAACTATGTTTGCCACTGTTCTAGGGACTGCACTACACAAAACAAAATCCCCTGCCTTCAAAGTCCCCTATTTTAGTATAAGCTCAATGTAGGTGGAAGACAGACAATAAATAACTTATGTAATATTTCAGAACATAATAGGAATTATTTTTTTAAAAAGGTGTGGGTTATATGTTTAAATAGGACGGTAGATTAGGTGTCCTTGTGAAAATGCCATTTGAGGAAAGTCTTGCAAGACTACGGTCAGAGCTGTGCTGTTAACATCAACTACTCTGACAGACCCACGAGTGAACATGTCTCTCCTCCCAGGCAATGCATTATTGTCCTGTGCCTCAATGAACTGCTTTACCATAAGCACTGGCTCTAATGGAAGGAATTTTGCATGTAGTGACAAGAAAAACCAAAAGACCTTTCTGAGCTTTTGATAAAATCACAAGTCACACAACAAAGGTCACCGCCCACATACATTTCTGGCCTTCAAATAGCCAGGATGAGCTGTTCTAAATTCCCTTAATTTTCAAATCAGTTCTCAGGAAGGGATCTGATCAACTCCTTTGCACGGGGACTAATTGAGCTGGTGTATCGCTACCTTTACACCAAATGCATTCATATAGCATTTATGATGTTTTTAGCCAAGGGGGTGGGAGTCAACCTCTCTTTGGAGAAACTCAAGCCTCAGTGAGCAAGTGAGTAAGCTATGTTTTTGCTCAGGGCATCTCATGAGAAGTTTATGAAATCATATCACAAATGCAGAAACGCAGCTTCTTGTCGAGTACAATTACACTGTTTATGTGTGTGTGCACACATCAATGTCTGCTTGCTTATGCACCTCTGTGGGATATGTTTAGATAATATTCCATGATAATGGTGCTTTATTTGTAGATTTACACTTAGAGCTTTGCTCTGTCCTCCAGTGACTCTATGAATCCCAAAGCCTGATTTTAATCCCACTATGCATAAGTTACTAATGGAGAAAACATTTAACTACCATAAACTCTCTTAGGAATGCAACTGCAAAGAAGACCTCAGGGGGTCATTAAAAGTTCACTTTTCTCTAGGAGCCTTAGAGAATTCTTGTCTGTATGATGCAATACCAGGAAAACTTCCTCTGAGCTGATATCACTTCAGAGATCATTGCTGTGAGAACAGTATTTCAAATGCATTTCACCCATGTCTTCTCCAAGATCAAGTTCACTGATAACACAAGCAGGAAACAGTATAAAAGAAATATTTTTCACCATATCTAATGTATATTTGTATTTGATCACATGTAATGTAAATGTATGACTGATACTTGAACATATAGATAATGTCTTTACATATATGTCTCAGAGTCCATCAAATAGCACTAGTATAGCCTTCAGTGATGTGTTCATTACACCAAGAAGAAGAGGCGTAGAGATAGGCTGGAGAGAAAAGGTGGCACCTGATAGATCTTCATTCAAAGTAGTTTTAACTACTAAGAGAATAAAATTAAGGTGATTAAATAAGAGTCAGATGGAATAGTATTCTTTTAAATGTTCAATTAATCTTTCATTTGTACATGATTTAACATTTTAAAATTCTAGATTTAGCGATTAAAAGACATGGTTCACGCACTGGAAGAGCTTACAGTCTAATAGAGGCAGTTCTCACATTGCCGCCTGTTTCTTTTCCTCTCCCCTCATATTTCACCTTTCCCAAGGTGCTATACATTTCTTTCTCTTCTCTAAGCACTTTAAGCTGCCGTGTTCAACCACCTCCTTTATAAGGTGGCCCCCATCTCTCTATTAAGCCCTGACACTGGCAAACAATCACTTTACTGGGTATTTCCAAAAGGCTGGGCTGTGGCCAAGCCAAAGTAAAGAGAATAGTTTACTAAATGCCCATGTACCCAACACCAAACTCCAACAATTATCCATTGTTTGTACCTTTTGTATCATCTGTATCACCATCCATCAAGTATAAAATATCTTAACCATCCTATCTTTAAATAAGTTTTCCGTCTCCTCCCTTCCTCTAGGACTCTAATTATACAGTTGATATTGTTCCTGAAGTTATTGGGTTTGCTCATGTTTTCCTGTGTGATTTAGTTTTAATAGCTTCTATTGCTCTATCATTGATCTTTTCTACTTCAATGTCTAATCTTCTATGAAGACTAATACATTTTTCACTTCGTATTGTTAATCTCTTGAAGCACTATTTAATTCTTTCTTTTATCTTCCATTTTTTCTTTTCATTATGTTCACCTCTTCTTGTAAATCCCTGGGCAAATTTACAATAGCTGTTTTAAAAGTCTTGTCTCTTGATTTCATCAGGCTATAATTTATATTTATTTTTCTCCCGCTTTTCTTACACATGTTTCTGATTATACGAATGTCTAGTAATTTTTGATAGGATGGTGGACATTGTTGATTCTTTTAACAGGTTTTTTTTTGTTTGTTTCTTTAAAATGTCTTAAAGTTTGTTTTGGCAGGCAGTTAAGCTGTTTGTAGGTCGGCTGATGGTTTTCAGGCTTGATTTAAGTTTTGTTAGTATAACCCAAGGATAGCTTGCTTTTAAA